AGTGTTATAAACGCTGCATAGGTCTGCCTCATTATAAAACAATTCACGCGCAATTCACCTTCCTGCGGCCATTGTGCTGTGGTGAACATGGTGGACATCAGAGTTCGCAATGGTCGAACTGTCCGCCGATATAGCGCACGACTTCCAGCTAATCCATGGCACAAACACGTGCGGCTCTCGTGTTGGTTTAATGCAACACCGAGGGTCGTTCAAATATGAATAGGGTGGTTGCCGAAGGAGCAATAAAAAGCACTTAACGGATAACGATCTAGTTTTGCCAGACCATTGTGACGGTCCTGAGCCTATAAATGAAACCGGACAACGCTACCAGCTGCTATGATAAAGTGCACTCCTAGAATCGAAATTTGGAAAACCATTAGCTCTACTAGCGACAAGCAGAAACTACAAGAAAACATTGATCAACTGGCTGTTTGTTCTAACAAGTGGCTCCTGACGTTTTATATATCCCAATGTGTATTGCTCCGTTTTGAATCCGGACGGAGACATTTCCCCAAACAGAACCTTATGAACGGGCTCCACTAAAAACAGAAGACATATAAAAGCCTAGGTATTTGGCGAGATCCGAGATAACTACCCTCTGGAAATTCAAAAAGGGTCCTCCAAAAGGCGACGGGCATCATTCATTGGATCAGGCGTGCCTTCATAATGTTTCCGTCCGAACTGTTTGCGCGGATCTCCAGTACCTTCGTTAGATCACATTTAGGGTACAGAATACCAGCACGGATGCCGTGGATGAAGAAAGACAGAGATCCTACCCAGCAGGTGCAAAGACGGGCAGCAAAACTGGTTAGGGACTGTCTTATCTCGAAGGACGGATTAATCTTCCTTTGTTTTCCCTATCCTATAGACAAACGAGGTGCTTCCTGCTATGGGCATTCTGTATTACCCACGGACACCCCTGGTCGCTGAAATCCAAAGATGTTGTTTGAGGTAACAAACATGACTCATCTGCGCGGCCATCCGTGGAAGATCAAAAGTGGATATACACGCCTAAATCGGCGCAAGTTTTCCTTCAGTCTGCAAGTAGTTCGACCGTGAAATTCCCTCACAAGTGAAATAGTGACATTGGATACCGCTGCTGTGTTCAAACGGCAGATGTTTTACTTAATTTTCGATAACCGGCCACCCATGACTTTTACTTCATGATTTCAATTTATGTGCATCGCAGCACTACATAGTTGCTGTAAAAAAGATCCTGTAAACCATTAAATGACTATAGTTCATGCTATGTGTACTTCATTGCATTTTTTACTTGACTGTACATGAATAGGGCCATTAAATGTTAACGCCTGTAACCCTCAGAAATATGCATGATATACTTTAAGATGGTCCTTTCAGGTCGCTATCCGTCGAGCAGATTCCTTACCCTGCACGTTGATATTTATCTAGAATGCTTTTCGTGCATCGCAATATTTCTTTAACCACTGTATACCTCGCAAGGGTTCTAATTTATTTTCGAGACGAGTTCCATTAATCATAATTTTACTAGTATCTAACGCAACTTTCATTCTGCATCAGGTGACATCATCGACTGACTAGTCCCCTGAGACCAATAGGTTACATTTATTCCATAAAAGACTGGTGTTTGTCTACCAGTCGGTCAATTTCTAGGCGATAGCAGAACGGCCGCAAATTAACTCTTACGACATATTGTCCTCGGTTTAAAATAAACAGGTCATCATCTCAAATAAACATAACATTAAAGCAAGACAGACTAGTTGAAACTGAGGCAGCACAGACTTAACTTTAATTATCTACTATTGATATTAGAAACTATGAGTTTATATAAGTGTCTGCTGGAATTAATAATTTGCACGTAAGCCAGGTCTTGCATGTTTAGCAGAACACTTGCTTAGGTCAAGATCGGTTAGCTTGGCGATCCAGAAAAAAGAGAAAATCTGCCCATTCGTATAGATGGCTCGAAACCAAATCGGTTCAATTCCTTGGGTAAAGAACACTGTTGGCTGTGACCTTCCAATTTTTCAGGCACCACAAAGAAAAGTTTTTCATTGTCAACTATGAAGAAAATACTGCAAAAACATTGCTTTTTTTCTAGTCAAGGGTATGTTCTTTTTATTACTTCATTGCGGTTAATACAAAAAGCTTGTACTCTCCGGACATAATCAGGTGGCACCAAGTCGGCATTAATAGTAAAAAAACCACCAGTCAGCAAACAGAGATAAAATACACTTAATTACGTTAACCGAGTACCGTATACACATTGAAGGTCCAATTTCCGGCATGACATACGTCACGTTTGTGTTGTTTACGCTTTTACGTGGCTTTTCAAATGCACTGACAAAAGGTCAACGGCTGTGGCATTTCATCTATACGCAAATTAACTTTTCTTAAGACTATTTGAAAGTATGCGAGATAAGATTTGTGTGTATATGTTACAAAAAACGGTTATCTCTAAACGCAGAGGGTAAGATGGTAAGTTACAAAAACGTGAACTTAATTCCACAACGATAACTAGCAATTAGACAAAAGAACGAAATAAGTAGACGTACAGGAGGATAGCTCGCGGTGGGGCAAGGACAAACTGCGGGAAATTGAAACACCGTGGTCCGTGCTGCTTTCCTCAACAGTCTGCTGAAGCTGTTTCGCTTTTTGTTGTTCAGCCATGTCAGAGAAACTGTTAATCAAAATTTGTTTTGGGGTAAGTGGATTTCGCGGTCCCTGATCCGGTACTCGCGAAGAGGGACTCCAAATAACGTCTGAATTGGCGCGATTGAGAGACACGTGACCAAGTCTCGAGTTGACCAGCGCGGGATAGTCGCTCGGTGGTGCAGATGGCGCATCAGCCTCACTGTTGGGGGGAGTAAGGACGAAGCCAATGGATGGAGGTCTGACAGAGCTGGAGGACGAGGTCGCGTGATAGGGTGGTGCACCAGGAACTTGGTATCCCCCCCAGGCTGGCCCAGCATTGATCACATGAGGGTCAGCAGGCGGAGGCACGGGTTGCTCTGCCTGGCTAGGGAGACTAAAGTTCCATCCGATAGTGTTTGGATTCATGTGATTTCACACCCCTTTTTGTTATCTGTGCGGGTTGACATAAAGCAAAAATGAGAACTGATTGTGCTTTGCGAATCCCCTACTCTCGCAAAATGACTAAACTCGTGCCTAAATAGGATCATGGCATATTTTTGTCGGTTATGTGTAGTATTTCATATCAATATTAAAAAAACTGATGCAACGATTACAGGGAGCGAAACTGATTATCAAACATTTCGCAACCCAAACCGAGAATTCATGACGGCAGCTCCTTCCCTATTTTCAATCAAAAGCTAACTAGGTTCAGGTAAATAAACGGCGGAGGTTGTCTATTTACACAGAAGCAAGAGATGAGGCCACTCACAGGACAAAAACTACTGGTGTTATACAGGCTCAAGTAAGAATGGGCTATCTTTAAGTCACTGCTCGTAATAGATAATGGGTTAACTATTCAAATATGTCATACAAAGCGCACAGATGGTTGATTCACTTACTTCACCGTCATAGAAACTCTTGAGCTAAAGTCGCATTAACCTGTTAACCTTTATTCGGAACATTTTTGGACAAAAATGGCAACAGTACGACAATGTTAGCTGCATTTTGGCCGTCAAATCAAAGAAATATTAGTAATCATGTCGCGATTTGCAGCAACTTTAGTCTGCTCAAGTCAGCGATCCACTATATGGATTACTTCATTAGCCTTCGCCAGATTGACAGCCTGTCTAGTTTACAGTTGGTATATAAAGCCCAAAGAAAGCTGGTTTCCAGTAACCACCAACATTTGTGTTCGCCCCTAACGGTCTCGGCGTTTTCGTATATCGACTCAATGAAGAAGCATTCTGCAAAGTCTGATTCTTTTTACGACTTCCTAGACTGCCGAACTTCACAGTTTTGACGTGGACAGAAGCTTAATCATCAGAAACAGCAACTAATGCTATCAGTTAATAGGGTTTACTGGGTCAAGATGGACTGTTACTAGGATTTTGTGGGAATTGCGGCTGATTAACCATAGTTGTACTTAATAAGCCAATTATCTACCGGGCTACACGGGTCATAATTCGTGATTTTGGACTACTGGACATTCTGACAGCCAGTTGGTATTAAGACTGTCCAATAGCATACCCCTCAGTCATCTCCAACAGGACTCACCTAAGTCCTGCAAAATATCGGATGTTGACAATCGTCGCTTCTGCCGATTAATAGACTGAGAAGTTCATTCCACTATCGGGCATTGCAGATTGAACTTCTACAAAGGCTGAGTCAATCTTCATAACATAGAAATTCGCTGTATTATCGTCTCAAAGTACCCACCTAATTATATGCATTTGGAATTCCAAAATAAACTTTAGTTTCTCAACACGACGATCCTACCCAACTTATGAAGCCTCTTTCTACCGAAAGAACCTCGTTCTAGTATATTTCCCTCAGAGTTAAGACAATATGCTTGATCGAAAAGTCTATTTTTTGCTGATTGAGAAAAGGTTTGCAAAATACTATGCTCCACTTTTGAAGACAAAAAGGACGGTCAACCGGGGCTCGCACACAGTACCACTCGGATCACAAACGAACGTGTAATCTACTGCGCCATCGCGTTACGGTCATAAATTTATCACAACCGAGGTATGTAGACAAGTCGTGTCCCGGATGCCGAACGATCGCCACCAAGTTTAAGCAAACTGGAACTAGAAGTCAAAAACATGAAAGAGTTTACACACAGGTCTATTCTTCCGGAGGATACTACACAAAGAGAAACTCGTAGTAGAACGAGGGAAATTATGCTTAAAACAACCCCAGATACCCATAAAAAGTAGTCTAGTCGCGCCTCTCGAAGACCCAAAGACTAAGAACAAGTTGCCACCGACTACCACACAAAAAGGTCGCCTTATCCCGAAAGGAAAGCGGTCGGGCACACTCAATAAGCAAATGCCAGAACAAAAGGAAATCGCAGCCCGAGTTGAGGAAATCTGCAGCTCCGTAGGGTCGAATACCCCTCAGCGCTTTCCGAACAAAGGCACCCTTGACAGAACACAGAGCGTAAGTATTCCGGATGCCCTAGCAGACATTCCCATTTTACCAGTCCCGTCCGACGATTTTAAGTTGTCGGAGGATAACCACAAATCCGAAATTCATAGAAGCGTCCCTGACAAGAGCGACAGGATCATAATCTATGGACTACTCGAGTCCTCTGCTGACACCCCCAAGGACAGAAGTGATGCTGACTTAGGGTTACTCCAAAAGCTGCTAAACGAACTGTTGCAACCATCTTAGGAAATCTTCTATCCATAGATATTCTGCCTTCGAAGTCGCCTAAACATAACTCAACAGACTAGGCGGTGACCACTAAAAGCGTCCTAAACAGCGACGAGGAAGCAAAACTTCTACTTTCCGCAGGTTTTCAATTGAAGCACTCCCGGAAGGGTGTGTTTTTCCGCCGGATTACTCTCCTGCCGAAAGCATGAAACACCGCAAATTAGTTCTAGAATTGAGGGAACGGCGAATAAACGAAGAACAGAATAAAGTGATTTACAAGGATCAGATAGTCGAACGATATTCTGCCCCCTCCTGGATCAAACCCATTCGAATGACCGCGCAGCTACTCCAAGACTGAGTCGGGAGTAAAAACGGACGGCGCAAGAACTCAAAGCTGACATTTATGCTAATGTACAAAGCTTAGTTTCAAAAATGCTTGAACTGAGAATCAACGTATCCGTCCTCCTTCCAGATCTTATTTCGATGACAGAAACATGACTGTCGGACCAGACTGACAATCGAGAGCTTGGAATACTTGGCTTTCAACTGTTCCACACAGACAGAGACAACCGCAGAGGTGGAGGTGACCTTCGTAAAGAACGGTTTGCATGTTTCAGAAAAAAAAACGAATAATCTGTCTTGTCTGCAAGCGGCATGGTTGACAGGTTCTCAAAGCCTCGATATCTTAACTGTCTGCCGACCCCCAAGGAACGATCCTGAAGCTGATACCCTATTTCTGGATGAGCTTAAAGCCTTTGCTACGAGATTAAATACCCTTACCGATGGGGACTTCAATGCGCCTACTATCAAGTGGAGCTCCACCTTAGCCGATTGCCCTGAATCGGCATTCGACCACCAACTCCTGCATGTAACTGAATCCCTGCTTCTCACCCAGCATGCTATATTTCCCACAATAATTCGTGAGGGCCATCGGATGAACTGCCTCGAGCCTGTGCTCACTAAGTCACCTGACAATGCTGACACTGTAAATTGCTTACGCCCACTAGGCCAGAGTGACCATGTAGATCTCATATGGGAAAACATGTTACTGTCTTTGCTTGCCCAACCGCAAGACCTCCGACCAAATATTTGGCGTGGCGATTTCGAGCAGATGAAACATGATCTCTGCTTCATCGACTGGGCATCCACACTCTCCGACAATGTTGAAGCAGCTTGGGAACAATTCAAAGAGATGGTACACAACCTCATCTCTAGCCACTGCCCAATCACGCAGAGAAAACTAACGAACAGACCTCGCTGGTTGACTCCATCTTTAAAAACGGAAATTATCAGGAAGATAAAACTGTGACAAAGGTTCCTCAGCGATAGGACGGCCGAATCCCTCAATAGTTACAAGATGCAGAGGAACCGGGTCAAACGTCTCATTGTCAGAGATCGACAGATGTTCGAAGAGGATCTGTTAAACCGTGTCATGGTTAATCTCAAAGTCCTTTACAGTTATATAAAGCAGAGCACACGGAACAAGGATCCTATTACCCTATTGCGAACTGTCAAAGATGCAGAAATCTCAGGATAAGGACCATCTCAGTTCTTCCGGTCCGTTGAACGACTGAACCCAGTTTTTATCCCACGCTTATGAAGACGACTCAGTTCCATTTATTGATACAGTCCTCTTCACCGAAGATATAATTAGGACTGAGCTTCTAAATTTGAGAGAATCGACCTCCCCAGACCCGATGCAACCCCGGCCAAGCTGTTGACGGAGCTAGCTTCTGAAATTGTGGTTGTCGTTGGTTCGCTAAGTAACTGCGTTTTTAAACAAAATAGTTCGGACATCTACTGTTCCTGCGGCAGCCATTATAGTAAAATCGTTCAGCTATTTCTTGTCGTAATGTGCTTCAAATATCTAGAATAGAGTGCATATATAGTTATTTTTGTCACACGAAAGCTAACTGATGTTGAATTAAAATGTCTACCTTGTGTTGGGCACTTTTCTTAATACTGTAGTTCGTACATTCCCAGCAACACACTTACAAAGACGTCGATGAACGGTGGAAGCGTTTTTGATTACGCCCATTATTTACGAACGATAAGTCGAGTGGAACCTGGCATGGAGACCTTGGATTGTCAGACTGTACTGTTTTAGAGAAGGTCCAGAGGTGAGCGACAAAGATGGTCGAAGGTCTGGGAACACTGCCCTATGTCCCCGTTCCTACAGACAACTTCGAGGCGACCTCATACTTACCTTCCGTACTCTGAAAAACCTGGATTGTTGTTTCCTCCCCGACGATTTCTATATCCAGGCTAATACACCAACTTTGCGCGGGCATCCCCTTTAACTACGCCCCGGCAAAGCAAGAATCG